GGAGGCTGGGGCAATAGGATTGCAAGTTCAAGGCCAGACTCAGCAACTTAGTGAGACCAATCTCAAGGAATAAAAAGAACTGGGGATGTAGTTCAATGGCAGAGAATTCCTGGGTCAATCCCCAGTACCAAAAGAAAAGAAAAAAGCAAAAAACTACTATTCTCTAACATTCTAGTAGGAAGTTTGGGGCATGGATTCTTTTTAATGAGCTTGGGTTTAGGCTTTAGTGAGACGAACTGCTTATATTTCTTTGATCCTTAAGAGCAGGCTTGGCATCAGGAAAATATAAGTGTGAAGACCTTCTTGGCAGCACCTAAAGAAGACTCTTAGATTTGTATCTTCTGAAAACATTATCCTTATTGGTTACTTCAAGGCAAAGACCATTGTGCCTTCATCTCAGCTGTGCCAGCATTAACTTACTACAACTGACTGAACAAGATCTTTTTTAAAATGATACTAGGGAGAGATGTTAAAGAGAGAGAGAAAAATATGTACAGACCAGAATCAAGTTTAAGAAGGTTGGACATGGAAGAAATTACACTGGAGCTGTTGAGCGGCAGGGGATAGACCATGAAGGAAAGATATTTTATATAATGCTAGAGTTTTCATATTACCTAGGAGATGCAATTGAAAAAATGTAAACATAAGCTCACTTTGATCAGTGTGCAGAGAATGAACAAGGAGTTTGCACAGTGCCACACACCTGTAATCCCAAAGACTCAGGACACTGGGACAGAAGGATTGCAAATGGGCAATTTAGTGAGACCCTGACTCAAAATAAAAAGGGCTGAAAATGTAGATTAATGGTAAAGCACCCTGGGTTCAATCCTTGGAACTACAAAAGGGGAAGGAAGGAAGAAAGGAAGGGAGGGAGGGAGGGAGGGAGGGAGGGAGGGAGGGAGGAAGGAGGGAGAAAGGGAGGGAAGAGCAAACAAGGGGAAAGGGGATATCACTTGGGGAGCTACAGTGTCATAGTGAGGATGGGGCAGTGAAGACAAATTACAGACATGCAGGAGGAAAGGCTGGTTCCCTGAGTTTTGCCTGGAGAGTCTGCGTGGGAGGCACTGCCATTCATCAAGATAGAGAAATGAAAAGGAATAGGTTTGAGGGTATGCGTTGACACTGAGGCATCTTCAGAATCTCAGAGTGATCATTCCCAGTGCATGTCAGAATAGTTGGATTTGGAGCTCAAAAGGGAAGTCAGCTGGGCATATAGTTGTCAGTCATCTGCACCCAGGTAATAGGTATAGTCATGAGGCTGATTACTTCCCACAAGGTTACACAGTGAGAAGGGTGTTGATGGTAGATCCAGACAACATCAAAACTCAAAAGGGAGAAGACTGAGAAGCAGCTGCTGAATACATGGAAGGAAAACAGGAAAAGTGGTTTCAGGAAAGCTAAGAGACTATTTTTCTTTTCTTTCTTTTTTTTTTTTAAGAGACAGTGAGAGAGAGATAATTTTAATATTTATTTTTTAGTATTTGGCGGACACAACATCTTTGTTTGTATGTGGTGCTGAGGATCGAACCCGGGCCGCACGCATGCCAGGCGAGGGCGCTACCGCTTGAGCCACATCCCCAGCCCCCAAAGAGAGAGAGACTATTTTTCAAGCGGGGAGTGGCCAAGAGTATGAAGCAATGAAGAGGAGTTCAAAAATTTAAAAGTAAAAAAAATAAAAACCACTGTGATTAGCCAGGAGGAGGTCACTGTGGACCCCTGAAACGGATGTTTCTTTGGTTGGTGGGGTGACAAGGTAGAATTGAGGAGTGAATGAGAGACAGGAAATGGGAGCCATGAATGCTGTCAGGCATTCTAAAGCCTAAAAGTTTGGTTAACTTTTGTCTTGAACTTGGGTTACTTGTACTGTTTTTTCTCCTTCTTGCTCTGATAGGTTTTTCTTTTATTCTGTTCTTCCTGGTTTCTAGCAAACATTCTCAGGTTTCTTGTGGAATTTTTTCATTTAATTATTAATGTGTAAGTATTCATTAACCTCATCTCATTTCTTCAGTGGAAAAATAACTGACTTTGGGGTGTCATAGGACTGGGATTGAATTCCCTGCCAGAGCCTTTAGGTAGTTGCTGTTTTGTTTGTTTGTACCCTGTGGGAGTTTCTGTCTATTCAGAAATCCTCTCCAATGAGCCACAAGCTGGGACCTGAGACTGCTGGGGGTGGGGAAGCTCCTTCCTTCATTTCTGTCTCTCTGGCAAGTGTCTGATCCCATCTCTGCTTTCTCTGCACACTAGAAATAGCCAGGATCCGTCTGACAAGTTCCTGCAATTCTAGCTTCTCCTGTTACACATTACAGAGCCAATTCATCTCTTGGTACACATTTTTAAAGAGAATCTAACCGGTTGTTGACTGGCCAAGGATAAACTCTATTCAGGATCACATAGTCCAAACAGCAAGATGTGTCAATTGGTACAGACATGGCCTCCCATTTGAGAAAGAGCTATGAGTTCCTGCGAATGAGGTTCGAACTGGACAGAAACCAATATGGGACCTTGGACACATATTTTTTGTCTTATCTTCAGAGTGGAGTTAAAACTTAGTGGATGCTGTGTCGTATTTCCTAGAATGAGCCCTCAGGACTGAAGGAATTCTTCCTCTACCCGCTGGGAGCACTACCAGGAGACAGCTCTCATCTGCCACCCTCTCCAAGTAATAAGGGACAGATTTGAGTGGTGGGACTGTGAGGTTAAAGGAATAATTCTATAAAATGGACCCATGTGCAGATCACCACCTGCTCTCACCTTCAAAAAGCAATTTACCTGCAACCTTCCCTGGTTTAAATTGACAGGATATGTTACATTCTTCAGCAAACTACCTATTATCTACAGGAGAATTGCATGCCCACATGAATCCAATAAAAGGAACACAAGTTACCCTGAAGGGGGGACTTTTGTGACCCTTTCACAGACCAGATCCTGAAATTCAGGGAGATAATCATGTAATCTGCAAGAACGGGGTTTCAATTGGAACTGGTTAGCTTGGGTCAAAGTGACCTAGAGTTGTCACACAGCGGAGACTAGAAAGTCTGATGTCATCCTGCTAACAGTCAAGAAGTAGACTGGGAGGGACAATCTGGAAACTTCCCTTGGACACCCAATAAAACTGTAGGACAGGAGAAACATGCTTTCCCTCTCCTTTTTCAGATAACCCACTCTCTCCTTTGAGAGTGTCCCCTTTTCCTCTTTCTTACCCCCTCTAATAAACTCATGCCTATCATTCTGGGTGACATGCCTGAAATTTTTCTGACTTGATCTTAAGAATAGTAATTTGAAGAGTGGGGAACTTCACACTACTCCATTTCCTGGAAGGCCCCAGACCTGTAACACAAGTATTTTCCCTGGCAGAAGAGAACCTCCTTGCTCACAGTCATGTTCTCTTTCCAAGGACAGTCTGTATCCAAAGGCCTGTTCTCCCACCCCCACCAGATGGGCACAACTCTAAGAGACACCCCAATTCCAGGGCTCACTGTAGAAGGATGTGGGTCTCTGCTGTGCCTGCACATAGCCCAGCTTCTCCCTGCTTGTCTCCCTTCAGTCACATATTCCCAAGAACATTCTCTAATAAGCTTGCTTTTGAATCTCTGAGCAGCTTTCCGAGGAACCCAACCTGTCATAAAGCCATTCCCCCACCTTATAGTTTAGGAAGCAATAAATGAGATAATGTAAGTAAAGTTACCTACGACAATTCCAGCAACACCCTCACAGTGATTGTGATGACTGAGATAACATGTGCAGAAGAATGTGGTATATTAATTTCTTCTTTCCAGTCTTTCAAAGAAGCAGAGTTAGACTCATTCAAGCAGCCCTGATCTTTTAGATTTTATTTTCCTTTAAATGAGTTTCAGAAAAAGATTCTGAACCATATTTTTACGAACCTGTACATTACATAGGCATAACTAATCATCATTTCACCAAGAGAGGTGAAATGTTATCCCTTTACATTACACACTATACTTGGCTTAATTATTTAAAATATCTCAGTTGGGTGAAGTGGTGCACACTTGTAATCTTAGTTACTCAGGCAGGAGGATCACAGTTTGAGGCCAGCTTAGGTAATTTAGTGAACCCTACTTCAAAATCTTTAAAAAGATTAAAAACAAAGAGCTGGGGGATGTAACTCAGTGGTAGAGCACCCCTGGGTTCAATCCCCAGTAAGGTATGCAGGGAACAGGACATAGTAGTATATTCCTATAATCCCCAGCAATTTGGGAGGCTGAGGCAGGAGTATGGAAAGTTTGAGGCCAACCTCAGCAACTTAGTGAGACCCTGTCTCCAAGTAAAAAATGGAAAGGACTGGGGATATTGCTCAGTGGTAAAGCAATATCAGATTGAACCACTGGTTCAATCCCCACTACCAAAAAAAAATCAAATGCCTGTTTCCCCATTAACAGATGAAAGTAGAAGTCAATGCATTAGTTTACTCATTTAACAAACATTAATGATTACCTGCTAAACACAGAAAGAGCCAGGCATATTTTTATCACACTGCCTTTAGAGGACTTATTGTGTAAGAGGTCCTTGTGTCTATGGAGTACAAATAATTATGTTTTATTTTATCAATGACAGATCAAAAACTGCTTGTGTTACAAGTATAATCCTGAATTTTGTAGCATCATTACCAAACATCTGTTTCTAACTTTTATTATGGACATGCTGCAGTAAAACATATCACAAAACTTTTGAAACTATAGGCAAATCATTATTAGAAATCATCATGACATGTTCCCTTTGATGTACTATGAAATATTTTGGAAGATGGAAATAAGAGATGAATTTGCTTTCGACAAAGCAAAAAGACTTGAACAGGTAAGAGCATATCTTTCCCCCCAAAGCTTCTTCACCTTAATTTGTAAACATTCAGAATTTGGCTACTAAAAGCAGTTTCCAACTCACTCATTGACTCTGATGGTTTTTTAATGTTCACAGAATCCTACACATAATAAACACTGGACAGTCTGGATGTCAAAAAAAAAAAAACACACAGTTGGACATTTTAAAAGTCTTTGATGCATGTGTTTTATTAGAATATTTCAACAACAAAATATGTGATTTCCGCTTGTTCACAGTCACTCTAACTTATAGTTAAAACAGTCTAAGCAGCATCTACTCAGCTCACTTCAGGAGGCACTATACACCAAGTAGTACTTCGGCAAATTATAAAACACAAGAGCACTTCTATAGAGAATTAATTTGGGACAACAGGCTGCAAGACTCTGCACTGGAATCCAATGGAGATGAGTCATTCTGACAGGTGGAATACCTCCATACTCGCCCAGCCCAGAACACAGAGCACCACCACCAATGCACCATTTCAACCATCTAATAATCAATGGGAGCTGCCAGAGAGTCAATTGGTCTCATCCCAGATGCCAAAAGCAAAAGTCAAGCCATCACCATTTGGTACAGTCACCTTGTAAAGACATGAGTTTTAATTTCTGCTTAAGTTATCCATATAAGGGTCTCTGAGAAATACAATCAATACAACCCAACCCAAACTCATGTGGCATTTTACAGCCACAGGTATGTGAGACCCCTTGAGAAGCTAAAGGAAAATACAACACCTGTCTCTGCTTAACAGTTTAATGCTACACTTCAACTCCCTCAACCCCCACCTTAAAGCATTTTCTTACTGTCCTGTTACCATGACATTAAATCTATTCCCATTCTTAGAAACTAAATGTTTTGTCCAGTTTTTGAGAGTTAGCATAGACCTACCCAATTTTCTAGTAACATTCTAAAAAAAAATTACATTTCATTTTATAAAATAATTTCTATATTTTAAAGTGTATGCTACTAATTCTTCAAAGTGATCTTTTTAATGTTGGAACTCAGGGAAAAATCACTTCATAAAGTACAAAGAATCAAAACTGATCCCTCCCAAATGGCTGTTTTTTTCCAGAAAAGTAGAAAAGACTTTGAAGCACTTAAGAAACACTAAGATCTCTATCAAATGAACAATTGATAGAGAGCAGGAGGTTTGGGGTTTTTGTATTTTGGTGGTATTAAGGATTGAACACAGGGCCTCATGCATGCTATGCAAGTACTCTACCTCTGAGCCACCTCACCGGTCCTTCTTATTTTGAGACAGGGTCTTACTAAGTTGCCCAGGCTGGCCTTCAACTTGTGAACCTCCTGCTTCAGCCTCTCAAGTCACTGGGATTACAGTCCTGCATCAATACAGGCCTGATTGTATTTATTACTGAATATATAAACACTGGAGAACTTACACTCGTAAAAGGTCACAATGATTTTAAGAATATTTCACCTTATTTGGCAAGTAGTTGGACAATGTAGAAAGATGATTTATATCCTACTCATAAATGAAAGGCAAACATAAAAATAATTGATGTTATATAATTTACACCATGTCTATACCTATATGGCAAATTCAGTTATAACTAAAAACTATATTAGAAGTGTCTGGTTTTTTTTTTCCTTCTATTTGCATAATTTCCATTAGCAGACTTAGAGGCCTAATACATTTATGCTTATCTTTTATGGATTATGATAATCAACATATTACATTATACTCTTAAGCATATGTTTTATGCTTATTCAAGGTTGACTTAGGGTTTTGAAACTTTTCCAGGTGAAACAGAGTCAAGTGTACCCAATACCACCTTGCTACAAATTCTTCTTGGTTAAACGTAGCAACTCACCTCACTCCATTAATGACACTTAGAACTTTGAACTTGAAAATACCACTGAGTAAAAGAGAGAAATAGTCATGTGAATAATTGAAAACAAAAATGAAATGTGCATCTTTAGAATGTCATTGTTGTGCTTCAGAGTTCTACTTTGCCTGTGAGTTTGGAAATTCTCCATGCTCCTGAATGTAGCTTCCAAATTTCTGTTCCATGGTCTGAATCAGAAAGAGAAAGAAATTTCCCACCTTTTAGAGTCTCTTTGGTGTCCCACCTTTCAGACTACAAGCAGCAGACTACATTCTTTCCTGTAATATTTTTCCTCTTTTCACCTTATTACCTTAAAAAATACCTGAAATATTTATTTAGCATTTTTTTCCCCAAAGGACAATTCCTAATTATATCAGGCAGGAAAACAAGATTTATTTTATTCCATTTCCCCAAAGTTGAGAAGATGTAAGTATTTATATTGAATCCTCTTCCTTCTAAATAATCCATTAAACAAAGCTAAAAGAAAGAAAAAAAATCAACCTTGAAAACTAAAAGTTGAAGATACACACTACATTGAATTTTTTTCATATCTTTTTTTTTTTAAATTTCTACCACAAAATTCCATGTCATTCTTAATTCTCAGTATTTTTCTCACATCCTTTATTTTTAGATTCAAATTACCACATAACAATGTAGCTTCAACATGCTGGCTCTGCTCCTGGTTCTCCAGATAAATTACCCAAAATAAAGTGCCTCCTACAGTCATTCTTAATCTGTGTGCTCACCACTGATTCTCCACTATCGAAGAGCTATGCTCAGTTTTCCCATCATCCTTAGGGGTAAAGGTATGGATAATTTAAACCTAACTGTTGAAGGAGCTATGAAAGATTGTTCCCTTTCATTTCATATTACTTCAAAATATACATATATACACACAACACACATATAACCAATTCACAAAGTCTGCAAACACACACTGCAGATGTTATTCCAAGTACACAGGGAGATTCACAGCTTAACAGCAAACTCACATGCAGATATAAAGCATAGTGTTACATTCTAAATCACATAGCAAGATGAAATACAGAATGCTTTAATATATGTCTGTTTTAGATTTATTATTTCTCTTAAGTCTTAGAAATGAGGAAAACAGAAACATAAACCTCAAGCTATGTGTGTAATAGTAATATCAGTCAATGTGGTATTATTTTCACTAACAAAATATCCAACTTGTTGACTCTATAAAAAAAGATACATACTATATTCAAAACAAAAACCATAAAGTTAGAGATAACCAATGGAAACTTCATAAAAAATATTCGATACTGTCAGTTTGTCAGTATTTAACTTTGTGTTGTTTTGACCAAAATATCCTAAGCCTGTGCATTCTTTTCTGATATTAAATAATAGTCACATCTGAGTGCTCTTTTTTTTTCCTTTTTTCTTTTAGGGGGGGTACCAGGGATTGAACCCAGGGTCTCTCAAAAGCACATGCAATATTACTGAGCTACCCACCAAAACCCAGGAATACTCACATCTATATAACATTAATAACTACATAAAAATAGGAATGAATGGGGAGAGAGCTGTTGATAGTTGAAAGATAGAAGTATATGTTTATAAATATGTATACAATTTAGTAATTATAATGCACCAATAAAAAATATGAGAAAAATGTATTAGAATTTAGTGAGGTCACCTAAATGGATTTCTTTTGCATGGTTAAATCTACATACCAGTGGTCCAGAATAAAAAAATGTGGTAACAAAGAACCCAGTTTTTACCTGTGCTCTTTGATATTATTATTAAAAATAAACACTAGTAAGTGAGCCATAGTGGTATGCCCTTGTAGTGGTGTGCCCCTAAAGTCCCAGATACACAGGAAATTGAGGCAGGACGAATACTTGAGCCCAGAAGTTCAGAGCCAGCTTGGGCAACACAGAAAGAGCCCATCTCTATTTAAAAAAAAAGAAAGAAAAGAAAGAAAAAAAGTTGCAGAACACCTTGAAGAGCTGTGAAAATATAGAAAAACTTTAAGAACCTGTTCAAATGAGTAAAGAACAAAAAAAGATGAAAAGAAACCATAGCTGCCTAAGAGGTAAAAATTAGAAATTTATGTGCAAAGTCCTGGGTTTGATCCCCAGTACCATAAACGCACAAACACAGAGAAATGTTCCACTCATCAAGCCTAGCACGGTGGCCCATACCTGTCATTCCAACATCTTGGGAGGCTCTCAGCAATTTAGTGAGACCCCTAGCAACTTAGCAAGACCCTGTCTTAAAAGAAAAAATTAAAAGGGCTAGGGATGTAGCTCAGTGGTAAAGCACCCTGGGGTTCAATCCCCAGAACCAAAACCAAAACAAAAAAACCTATAACACTTATCAAGTACACCAAAACCACTTCTCATTTGCCCACTCAACTTAGAGACTCACACTAGCTTAATTACACATATTTTTATACTAAGCATGAACAGGTGAACATAAATGTGATGGGTATTTATGAAAATACCTATATATAAATGGTTATTAAGTTTACTCAGACTTGTGTATTGATCTAGCGACTCACTGCTATAGGTAATATTTTTTTATCTTATCAGTTTCTTGACACGCTCAGCAAAACAATATTGCACAGAAACTCAAAGTCCAAGGAAGCGATCAGGCCCAACGTCCACTGGAGGCGAAGCTTCTGCTGAATGAGAAGTTGATTTCAGAGTTCTTGTATTTTCCCCAGGCACCAAAAGGCACTACTACTGCTGTACTGTTATCTTCAGTACCATACTGTATGGCCTACAAAGTTTGCCAAGAAAGAAGAGAAAACATGGGAATTCAGAGTTTGTACAAAGAAAAAAAAAAAAAAAAAGGTCCTTCCCTTAGAAAGCCAAACTGCTTTTAGGTACAGTTACTAAGTGCAAATATTTCACAATGGTTTATGATACTTTTACCCTGTGTCAATGCTCCACAAGGTTATTAAATTGCACATGGAATAACAGATGACCCCAAACATTCTCATTTACTATGTTACATGTCTTAATTACAAATATTATCACTTAAAAGTTTAGGACAAATTTGGCCCCTCAATTCAAAATATAAATATTGGAAATGCAAAAAACAGCTGTTGAATTAAAGCATGATCAGTGATGGTTCTAACTTAGAATTGCTATCACCACTATCCATCAGAACAGAATATTAAACAGTACAATGCAATGTTTCATGTTCTTTACTGGATATTACTCAGTGATTGTGTGTTAGCTCTGATTGACACACAATCCTGTCCATTCACCTTTTAGTAATTTGGTCTTTTTCACACATGTTCTGACACGTGGACTCTGTACCTCAGTTTTTCTCATCTGTAAAAAGTTTCAACCTCAAAGGCATCATGATGATTGCATGAGTTAAACATATGTGAACAGAATAGTGTCTGAGAGTGATATATTGGTTGGCTATTATTGCTGCTACTAACATTTCAAGGTATATACAAGGTCAAAACACAAAGCAAACACTTTTCATTGGCATATTAATTTTTCTTAATTACTTGGGCAAATGGTAAAAACTTGCTCATTGGAAATAATATGGAATCAAGTGTAAAACTCACTGTGATATCTAAGCTAAAATTCAAGATTTCAAAGAAATCTCAAGTGGTTATCACAGTGAAAAGCACTATGGGCTGCACAGATGCCACTTGCCTGGGATTGTCTTTTACCCTCCTCCCCCCATGTAAGATCCTTAGAAGAAACTCTGCCAATGTCACCTGTTCAGTCACTGCATGGGCAGCTTCATTAGGATCGTGACACTGATTGACAAAGTCACAAATCTCTTGACTATTCACCATGAAGTTAATTCCATCTGTGGTGAGGACCAGGAAGCTGTCATCAGCATGCTGGAGCTACAATCAGAATCAAATGCAGATCAATATAAACTAGACTCTACCTCAGAATGGTCTTTGTATTTTGAAGATTTTATCTGTTTTGCTTAATGTCATCTGTGTAAGGGTTTATAGGCAAGCAGTGAAAATGCAAGAAGTATCAACCACCACCAAGGATAAACCAAACATTGGCTTAGTAATACCCCCCTCCAAAAAAGACAGCCAATTGCTAAGATAAACCTGAGTTTGATCCTGCCTCGATTATGCAACTGGGTCAGGACTTTTTAGCATTTAAAATTGTGGGCCTCTGTATATGCTTTAGACTTCTAGAGGCCTTAGATTTGTTTCCTTGTGAAATGAGGATAGTATTACCTTTTTGGAACAGACCTTAGCACATAGTAAAACCTACTTGTTACATAAAATGAGTACAAATGGCATGTAAGACATGAAAGAAACCCTTCATACAAATAATAAACATTTGCTGCCTCTATTGGAAGCTTGTAGCATACTATGCTAGGCACTGTAGTTGGCTCAAGGGTTTCAGAGAAAGAAGTTTCAAATCCCAGACTCGGTGTATACTGGGGCAGTTTAGGGCAACAGATGCACTAATGCCACAAAAATAGAGGTGAGTGATAACTGAGCATGGTAGAGAAGAGAAGCCAAGGACAGCTTCCAAGCTGAGATGACCCAAAGGATCGGGTGCCAGGGTGGGTAAAAGAGCCATTCTACGAGAATTCCACAGCAGGGTGAAACACAGACCAGAAACTTTGTCATATATCAGGCCAGGAAAGTAGTATCTCATTTTACCTGAAAAGTTCATCTTTCCATAAAATACCCCCCTTTAAAACCATCTGGCCTCAGTTAAATCTTCTAAGAAAGCCTATAGCTGGAAACAATCCTGCATTCGTGCACTGTATATCTATCAAGTGCTTGCAACTCCTCTCTTACCTTAATTCTCTTTGTTTCAGGTTCTGCTATCACACCACTGGCTTTAAGATCCAAATCACCAATACTCCTTGTCATTGCAAGTCTGCCATTTACGTGAGGCTGTCCCACACTATTCCAAGCAACAAAACCACCACATTTCTTGATCCTGGTCAAGAAAACATTAAAAAACTGAAGACATATATACAGAAAAATTTTATATAATACAAAGGGCAAAAGAGCTATTCTACCAGAATCCCATAGCTGGAATTAATATACTATATATATATATATATATATATATATATATATATATATATATACACACACACACACACACACACACACACACACACAGTCAATATTAAATGTAAGCACGACATCAGTCAAAAATGCAAAATCTAAGCCAGGGGCAGTGTAACTCAGTGGTAGAGTGCTTACCTGGCATCAACAAGGCCCTGGGTTTAATCCCAGCCCAGTACAAATAAAAAAGAAAGCAAGATTTCATTTCTATCTCGAACTATAAGCATTATCCACATTAGAATGACTGATCCATGATGTCAGTACCTTTCTTTTTCATCTTTTCTTTCTGGAGTATGGTCAATGGTCAGCTTCATGGGTTTCCCTTTTCTACACAAGATAGCCCGGCTGTCCCCAACACTGGCTACAACCAGTTCAATACCATCTCGCAACAGGGCTACTGTGGCAGTAGTCCCAGAGGTCAGAAGGGTTGCTATAATATTATAAAAAAAGAGAAGGAGTTAGCGGTAGTCAGATGATTGGATACAGAATTTTTAAATTACAAAATAAAACACAAGCATGATATACTAGTGCTAGGGTGGATCATTCTAATTTAACTACAGCTATGCAAATAAAATGCAAATAAACTATGTAAGTAACAGCATGCAGAGAAACAAGGACTTAATTCAGTAACAAGGCTCCATGCAAACAGAAAAGGTAGGTAATCTAATTAGGTAAACAATGCATCACTGTCTCCAAATAGCTCCTATTCATATAAAGTAGAACTGATGTGAATTTAATGTGTGTATTAAATGTGTCAAGACCAAAAGTATTAAAATGTATTAAAACTGGATACTACCATAGGATGACTTTTTCTACAATCATCTCTTTTAGGTCTTTCTCCTCCATTTCTTCTATTCTGTCAAAGTTCTATCAGCTAATGGACTTAATGAGACATGTCAAGGACATATCATCATTTGCTCTTCAAGTACCAGATTTTATATTCTTTCAAAAAAAATCATTGAAGACTCACATTCTTTTCTGTTCATCTTTGCTCTCCTTAGATGAGAAACAAAGTTATAGCCATCATTATACTAAACAAAGATTCAGGGACAGGAAATGAAATTCATTGTAGTTTCTCCCATAAACTTGTAATCAGCACAGTTTGCTCCACAGGGATCTAATACACAGTCTGTGGGCAAACACAAGGGAGTACAGTACAGTCAACTGCTACTCCTGGGGTCCTTCCTGGGCCAGAGCATTCCAAGAATATTAATTTTCTTTTACTGAGATCAAAGAAAATTCAATCTCACAGGTCTAAGTTGCCATTATTTCCTATTGCAGTTCAAGTCCAACTGCATTTTATAATTTCCCTTTGATTTATTCTAACAGTGTCTGTCCTAAGTTTTACCATTTCTTAAAAGAATTTAAGGTGCATTGAGCCTTGCCAAAAGTGAGAATACAGAGAAACTATGAACTAAAAAATAAAGCAAAGTGGAAGAAATTGAAAGAGATAACTTATTTAAAGCAGGTATTATCTCTGGTAACATTGTTAATTCTTTTTTGGGGGGCAAAGGAGTAGATACCAGGGATTGAACTCAGGGGCACTAGACCACTGAGTCACATCCCCAGCCCTATCTTGTATTTTATTTAGAGACAGGGTCTCACTGAGTTGCTTAGTGCCTCGTTTTTGCTAAGGATGGCTTTGAACTATCGATCCTCCTGCCTCAGCCTCCCGAGCCACTGGGATTATAGACATGTGCCACCGTACCAGGCCAACATTGTTAATTCTTTAAAGCATCTAAAAAAAAATATTCAAATGATCATCCAAAACTGATTTTGATTTATTTAATTATTTCATTTTATTTATTTATCTAGGTATTGGAAATTGAACCCAGTGGTACTTAGCCACTGAGTCACATCCCCAGCCCTTTTTATTTTTTATTATTATGAGATAGGGTCTCACTAAGTTGCATAGGGCCCTGCTAAATTGCTGAGGCTGACTTCAACCTTGCAATACTCCTGCCTCAGCCTCCCAAGTGGCTGGGATTATAGTATGCACCACCATGCCCAGTTAATTTTGATTTTAAAATAAAGTATGTATTGATTTGACTGATTGAAAGTCAATCTTTGTAAAAATTTCTTTTCAAAAAGGAAATTTTAAAAACTTTATCAGTATTGCATTTTGAAAGGAAATGTATGCATAAGTAGATTTCCCAACCAGTATATTAAAATGCCTGCTTTAATCAGAAAAGCAAAATGGAAAAACATAATAAACTCTACTTAATTTTTTATAGTCATGCTGAATTTACTGTATTGAGAAATAGCATTTACAGTTGCACTATCTTCCCAATCATCTCTTGATTTTGGAACTATTGTGTCAAAGTAATATTATTATGCAATGCTACAATATGTATTTGTCATTGCACGGCATAAGTGTTTTAATATAAGCATCAGTGATGTTTACCTTACAAATAAAGATTAGCCTTGAGATAACTTTTAAGTTGAGATTAGCCAAACCACTATAAGACAATGGAATCTTTTATACAAAAATGAAATCTTTATAATTTAGCCAACTGTATTTTTTTTCAAATTATTTAAAAGAGCCAGGCAAGAAAATACAGGCATGTACTCAAATACTACCTGTCCAGGGAATTTTGTATTCCTCCCCTTTGTCTAAACCTTCAGCAACAGCTTTTTAAAAAGTGGTCCTTAATTGGTCATGACGACAGTTGAAATTTCATAAATGAAAGTTCAGTTGCTTAGGCTTGTCATTCATGACTCTGCCACCTAGACTTTAATAAAAGAGCTTGAGTTTTTATCAACTCACATTCACAGTTCCAAAATCCCAGGATTTATGGGTAAAGTTTCAAAACTAACTGTTGATTCTGGTATGCTAAGCATCTAAGAATATAAATAGTAAATCAGCATTTATTTTCATTTAACATTTAACAGGGAAGCAAAAGTTCTCACTTTTTGCCCTAACAACAAGACTATAAAACTAAGACATCTTTCAATAAGTTCTTAACACTCACTGGACAATTTCTACTGCAAGTCATCTCAACTAATGGGACAAAAGGATGTGGGAACCTTCCAGTAGTCCAGGCTAGGAACCGCTGGACTCCTTCACCTGAGACAAAATTAAGCAGATCTCTCTTTCCACTGAAGCCCAGCATATAGTGTCCACGGGCTCCAGGTCTAGAGCTGCTGACCGGGCACAGTTCTCTGCCACAAATAACACGCACAGAGGCAAGTAGGAAATTCACCCAGGAATTGTGCTCAAACATTACAGACCTGCGACACAGGGGAGGGCAGAGAAAGAGCTGCAAAATAAGGGGAAGGGTTTTTATTTTGGTGAAAATTTCACTAGCAAATTACATAATATTCCAGGAGATGCCAAGTCAATGATTCCAAAACTCAGTGTGCTCAGTTTGGTGGTATTTTGTAGTTGAGTCTATTTTTGTTCATCACAGATTAACGCTTCTTAGATTTGCAATTTCCAAGATAGGAAAAAACCTATATATGAATGCATCTGTACCAGAACACACCAGTGATGACACAAACATATATCCACATGCTCAAACTCATACACACAAACGCATACACACGACACACTTAACTACTTGGTCTTCAACAAAGTAAATCAGTACTTCCACTGAGTTAGAAAAAAAAATGCACTGTAAATTTGTTTAGTAGAAATATCAGAATTGTCCCAATAACAAAAAGGTAAATTTATCGTTCCAACACTGAATAATTTGTATATGACAAGCAGTCATGGTTAAAGAATGTGAACTACAGTATACCACCAAATTACTGGAACTTAAATATATACCAAGAAGGAATTAAAGCACCTCCTATGCCACATATAGGATTTCACACATTTGTTAAGGGTACAGGGATTTGGTATCTAAAAGCAATGGTTTTAGCAGAATAATTAATTTTAATTTCTTATTTAAATAAAAGCTAGTAAGGCCCTTGAGCTTATGTGAAGCCCTGGGTTCCATCTCCAGAACCACAAAAAAAAAAAAAGAAGAAAAAAAAAAAACTGAATCAACTCCAGTCCCTGACACTTTTATAACACGTTTATAATTTCACATAAATCGGATATTTCTGCAGCTCTCTCTTTTCCCCAGTGTTGCAGGTCAACACAACAGAAGAAAAATGATCACAATTTTGAATAGCAACATAAAAAGTAAAAGCTGTATTTTTCAAAGTACAATATTTCCCAGTAATTATTCAACTATGAAAATAATAACATATAAATTAATACTTATTAAAAATGGGTGTCTAGACACAAATGACTCATGAACACCAAAATCAAAGTAATGAGCAGAAGCAGTAACAGCAAAATAAGAACATCTCTTCAATGCTGTCCCTATTTTTTTTTCTATTCAGTGACTCCCACCATAAGAAGGGTATTCAAAAATGTTGGGGGTGCAGGTCAGTGGTAGAGTGCTAACATGACCAAGGCGCTGGATTCACTCCCCAGCATCTCAAAAAAAAAAAAAAAAAAAAAATGAGTTGCATTTTATTGCCTTGGTTATTTTTGCTTAATTCTTCCATAAAGTCATGATATGAAGAGCAAAGATGTTTCCCATGAAACTCACAGTGCTGTCATCAATGTCTCCCACTCTGAGTGTCAGAGCAAGTCTTCTGTTTTTGATCCATTTGTCCCTTGGGGAGCTTTACTGCTTTCAAAGTTTAAGCAATCTAGAAACACTCTGAAGAGTTCATAGGACATAGAGGATTATAATTTAAGTTCTCTCCCACCTGGTTTAAGTGACTATCTCTAAACAATAGAGTACAGGATAGCATTTGAATTTACAGGCTGGTTTCACTATGTGTAAAAACACACATTACTGGTATGAATTGAGTACAAAAAGAATTCCAAGTTGGTGATAAAAAGGGTTGAGGATATAGCTCAGTGGTACAACATTTGTCTAGCTTATGTGAAGCCCTGGGTTCCATCTCCAGAACCACAAAAAGAAAGGAAAAAAAAAAAAAAAACTGAATCAACTCCAGTCCCTGACCTTACAGGAAAGGTTAAAAGGAGTGAAAATGGTGCTGATGCAAAAAAAAAGAGAAACCATAGAATGACAGAATTTTCCTTAGTTGGTGCCAGTTCTGCTTACGCAGACCTAAAAGAATATTATCTACTCTTATAATACTGATACTGCTTCAGTTCTTATTAGAAATTTTAATTTTTTTGAACCTAAATGACCATGAAATCTGAAATGACATAGGCTTGTTTTTTTCTCAACCCACAAATTGTAAAGTTAATAGACAGCATTCTAACTTTAGTGGCTTTAATATATTTGATAAAATAGGCCCCCGAAACCAAAAGGCAATTTTTGTCATCTCTGAGGATTTGGCAACTTATTAAGAATAAATTTTTAAAATGTTCTCAAAATACTGTTTTTTTTTCAAAACCACAGGTTAATAAACCTCTAAGAATAAAAACACAATAATATTTAATGACAATGTTATCATAGCCTTTTTAAAAAATAATGCACTAAGCATCCTTCTATCTTGCTCCATTAAATTTTCAAACAAAATGACCATTAAATGAAATGTAAATTTTAAGACATCTATATTAAAGTTCTGGGATCATATACTTTAAAGTACATAACTAAATTAAACAATATATTCCAATTTCATTGTTAGGAGTAAATTATATTTTATTATTAATTTCTTTATACAACTATTTGAAAGTTTCTAAGATATTCAAGTTTTAAATAAATGCTCCAAATTCAAAATGACTTGATTATAATTTATTGTTAATAAATTAAAGGAGTCCTCACAAACTTTATACCAAGTCTAATATTGATGGTTTTCTGCATCTACATTGATCAGATCCTTTTCAAAATAGCTGACTGCACCCATGAAGGGTTAACAACACATTTGGTGGTTGGCCTTGTGACCCATTCTCTTCTGCAAACCTTGCCCAGTAGTCTGCAGCTGTTTGCAGAACAGCTGGGGCACATCACAGGTACTACTTCTTGGTGTGTGACAACCAAACTCACAGCCAACCTGGTAATGGATGAAATAAAAGCATACCAAAATTCAGAGTTATACATATGAAACTACAAGAATTTTTTTCTTCTCTTCTTCATGGGTTTCACCCATCAGGAACAAGAGCTAAATCTAATGCATAAAATTCCCCCTCTCTTAAAATCCATCTTCTTAAAGGTAAGGTGGAATGCAAGAGAGGAGAAAATGGGCCTGAATAATCTACACACTAAAAAAATTAATCTCTGAACAAAGGGGGATGGGGTTGTGATGGGAAGTTTCTCAAAAAAGAGCAGGGAAGGGCTGGGGGTGTAGCTCCATGGTAGAGCACTTGCTTAACATGCTCAGGCCCTGGGCTTGACGGTGCAGGTTGGGGGTGGAGAGCAGGATGATCTCAAGATGGGGAACAGTCCCAGAGTCACCTTCTCCCCTCCTCATCAATAAATATGCACATGAGAGAGGCCTGGCTGGGTGCCAGGAAAGTCCCAGCTAATCTGAAATGACATCTGTCTTTCAGTTTCAGTTCCATATCTATGAAATGGGGAAAATTTTCCATTCCTTGCACTCCAACTGAGAATGACATTTCTCTGGTGCAATTTTTAAAGAAAAAGATGAAACCAAAAAAGATTAATAACATCACTGCACCATTCATTTTCACTCTGGGGACATGGCTCAGTGTTTGAGCACTTGCCTAGCATGCTCATGGTACTGGGTTCAATCTCCAGCACCACAAAAAGAAAAAAAATAATAAAAATTCACTTTCAAATCAGTTATGAGGCATATATTCCATGACTGCAGCAGAGGTATTCAAGGTTAAGTTCAGGGACAAAGGATTCTGGCTAGCTGACTAGAAAACATTGGCTACATTTTCCTGAAATGGTTTTGATAAATTTAGTCAAAACCAGAAACATTTTACTTTCAAAATTTAAGGACACAGAGTACACAAACTTTTAAATTCAGTTGGCATGCCCTTATGTTTAACAAAAACAAAAATACCACTAGCTACCATAGGACAGCTGCAAGATGGAGCTTTTTTAAGAAGTGGAGAAAAATATCTTCCTTCTGATTATACAAATTAATGCATATTAGTCATTTCCTTTCTTATTTAGCATCTATTAGCTATTTTCTTCTTGTCTAAACAATTACCATCCAAGCCAGATATGATTACCCTATAGACTTGCTCATTAGAACCATTCAAAAAAGAAAAACATTCTCTCACAGTATGGATATCTTTTCCACAAAACAAGAAATCAAACAAATTAACTATTTTTAAATCTTAAAAATTAAAATCCAATAACTAAACCATTTTGGAACTTCCCTTTCAAGTAAAAGGGAGGTACTGATATTAGTTCAGATTCTAAAGAGCATTAAAAGTGAATCTTTATATATAATCATTTCTAAATAAACTTTCTTACAAATAAGTATTCCTTAAAATTCCTACTCCCAAAGAGCTAAACTGTTGCCTTTTTACCAGCCTCTCCCAAGACATTGAGGAATGTGATTGTTTTACATACCATCAGCAGACAGATGGGCATGGCTTGCAAAGGCTTTATCTATTTCTAGAAAAGACAAGGTCAACACAGTTTCCAAGTTCTTCTCCTTAGGGAGAAAATCCCTTTGAGGAAGGGAAAGAGAACACAGAACAATCATTTCACAATAGGTTTTCCTTCTTACAGTCACCTTTCCAAGCAGACATTCCTCACAACAGATCTCATGACTTTCAGATGCTTACAACCCACCGGAGCGGCAATGTTCAGTGACCATCACTGACCAGTACTTAAGGTACTGTGATAAGCTGTTTTGTTTTTTTTGTTCTGAGAATAGTACTCAGGCCTTCCAAGCATGTGACAAGCTTTTAAGGACATGGTAAAGTGCTTGCCTAGAATGCATGAGGCCCTGGCTTTGATGCCTAGAACCAAATAAATAAATGAGGCCCAAGTCCTTGTTCTTATAGAATTAATACTCACTCCCACAATCCTTAGAGGTCAAGAGTGCCACCATAGGCCAGGAATGGTGCCAGCACTCAGGAAATTGAGAAGGGAGAATCCCTTGAGTCCAGGAGCTGGAGACCAGCGTGGGCAATGGAGACCCCATCTCAAAAAAGAATTTCTTCATATAAACTTAAACCACTGAATTCTTTTGTGGAATGAGGTGAATTTTGCATAAGCCCACTAATGAACAGTATAACTAACCATATACAGGAAGATAAAAAATAGCACATGGTCATAACTCTGCCACATATATCCCCCTTTTAATTCTAGCAATAGCATGATCCTCAAAAATATAATAATTCGGGTAAATGAAATAGTTAAAGGAATTCAATATACCCACATTAAATGCATTTTCCACACACTAAGACCAATCATCCAAGGTCGAGTATTCAAAGCTATTACTATCACTTAAAATTAAAATTGTCAATTAATTGTCAATTAAAATTAGTAATCACTTACTATGTGCCATGCACTGATGGGAGTACATGCTTCTCATAGGTTATCTCATGTACTATCTACTAATTCACTTGAAATGATCATAAATCAAGTGCTGTCGAGTTTTCTGATCAACGTTTTCCCCAAGGAGTTACTAATATCATCAGTAATAGTGGCATGCTTAAATTACTGCTCATTCAAGAAGTGAAAGTGTGAAACCATGCAAGTAACTTGGTTTAACTAAACTCATCAGATAAGGGGTGAACGTTTAAGCTTGGTGAAGCTTGGGGGAACTGCAAAGTCAAGAGTGAAAGCCATTGTACATACACAATACATTTCTCCATGTGGGTGTGACAGAAATCAGCCGCTGCAGGTCCCCCATGTCCATCATACACTGCAAAGTACAGGATCTCCTCTGTTAGCTGAGCAAAGTCAAACCGATCTTCATTCTCTTTCCGTTTGCCAATATGGGAAGAGCTGCCCACATTTTCCAAGCTGATTTTGGGAATTGGCTTGCCATACTTAATACTGGGTGGCAGCAGAATTGGCTCATCAATACGGTTATCCCAGATTCCAAAACTGTCCCAGGTGGCTGGCCGTCCACTACCGTCAGGGTCAAACCGAGAACACCTAGGCTCTGAAGTGGAGCTGTGGCAGGGGGGTGACACACGCCTGTCCTCCTGCAACAGGCGGGAGCTCAGCAGCACTCTTCTTCTCACCTGGTTCCCACCACTTCTAACCAAAGTAATTAAGGCCGATGTTGACATAACTCAACTCCACAGGCCTCAATGGCAGCAAAGGTCAATGGAACAATGGAATCTCTTCAAGAACAGGCAACTGGAAAATGAAAGACTTTGTCAGCAATTTTGAATATAAATGATCTATATTATAGGACATTATCAAACATGAAGGCCATAAAAGATCTGCCAGAAGTAGATATCATATTTATGTTATATATTGGGTAAACACCCAATAGCCTACTTCCAAGAATAATCAATAGGTTTGAGCTATGGTGACTCATGCTTGTAATCTCAGCTACTCTGTAAACTGAGGCATGATTTCAAGGCCAGCCTCAGCAACTTAGCAAGATCCCATCTCAAAATAAAAAAATTAAAACAGCTGGGGATGTAGCTCACTGGTAAAGCACCCTTGTACCAACCCCAGTACCAAAAAAATAAATAAATAAAATAAAGAATCAATTTATCTACTCCATTTAGTATTCAAATTCTATAAAAATTTGAGTGTTCATATATATAGAATGTGTGCCTCTCAACACTTTCACCTACAGTCACTCCAGGATCTCATCAAAACACAGATTTTGTTTCATTTGGTATGGGTGGGCTCTGAGATTCTGCATTTCTAACCAGCTCCCTGTTGATACTGAAGGCAGCAGGCTACACCTGGAGTAGCAAGAATATAGAACTCAGCTATAAATAAACGTTCTTCCCTTCAAATTAACTCCATTGCTCTGAAGAAAAGGTAAGGGCAAATGTTAACAACAAAATCTTTTTTTTTTTTTTTTTTTGGCACTGCAGGGAATCAAACCCTGGGCCTCACCCATGCCAGGTAATGTGCTGCCACTGAGCTACATCTCAAACCAATAAAGTCTGGCCTCAAAAGAGAAATAGGAGGGAAATAAATAAATGGCTAATAAACTATTTCCAATAGTTCTGTTCTTAAAGAGTGGACAAATTTTAGCAAAGATACCATGTAGGATATAAATGTTGTTTTGATTTTTCTCAACTACAAACTGTGGACACTACATCATCAGGGTTAATGTAAATTGGTTTCTATACACACCCCTCCCCAGCTCATAGGTGAGCCAGTGCTGATGCTGTCCTTTGTGGAAGACATTCATGACAAGTGTGTGAGTTTGTGATCTCAGCAATCAGGAGGCACTACAATAATGATGAGCAGCCCTAATTTATAATCTATGCATTTACACCAACAGCTGCAGCTCTCCTTTACCCCACCCTGCAGCCCAACCACACCTGAGACTACATTTCCTTAAAATACTCCTGCTTAAATTCAATCCCAAAGGCTTTCTTGGCATTCCAGGATGTTATCAGGGGAATTCCGATATCCTTGCAGGAAGGGTTATGTTTCTGGTTGTTTTCCATACAAATAAGGATCCAAGCAGAAACTCATCTCCTGAGTACTTAGTAGTGTTTCTTTCTTTTATTTATTTTTTTATTTTTGCAGTGGTGGGAAAGAACCCAGGGCCACACACATGCTAGGCAAGCACTCTACAGCTGAACAGACATTCCTAGCCTGTTGTTACTTTATGAATTAAAAATAAACTTTAGGTCATTTGTTTGTGGTGCATGCCTGTAACCCCAGCTACTTGAGAGACTGAGGCAGGGCCATGGCAAGTTCAAGACCAAATTCACCAATTTATCAAGACCCTATCTCCAGCCTGGCACCATGGCACATGCCTGTAATCCCAGCGGCTTGGGAGGCTGAGGCAAGAGGATCACAAATTCAAAACCAGCCCCAGCATTTAGCAAGGCCCTGTCTCCCAGTAAAAATAAAAAGACATGGGGATGTGGCTCAGTGGTTAAGCACCCCTAGGTTCAATCCCCCATACCAAAACAAAAACCAAACAAACAAACAAAAAAAAGTAAAAAAAGAAGGAAGCTCATATATGCATGCAAGCTCCATTCTTGAGTGGGTGCGTTTTTGCTGCGGCGGTCCCTGCCAACATCAAACATCAAAGGCGGCGAACATCTTCAGCCTTTGAACTCAAACTCACACCAGCAACCATCCGAGGAGCTTAAAGGGCTCAGACTCAGACTAGGCTGCATTACTGTTGCCTCTTGTTCTGAGGTACCCAGCTTCTAGAACCGAACAGCTACTGGTTTCCCTGCTTCTCCAGCCTGCAGATGACCATTACGGGACTATCCAGTTTCTGATCATGAAAGTCAATCTAATAAATCCCCTCTTATAATGATTTATCCATTCTATTGGTTCTGTTCCTCTAGAGCAGAGCCTACCTTCATAGAATTTAGAATAAACATGGCAACCAATTCAATTAATGTATCATGAAAGACTTCAGGAACCATCCCTTCTTGGCTTTTCAGCTAAGATCATGCTTAAGACTGCAATTTCGCTCCTTTTTATGACAATATTGGGGCAGGGGTGAGAGAGGCATAGATGGCATCTACAGTTAGCAAAGATAACTGATTGAAGATTGCTATGATTTTGATAGGGTTTGTCTCCAAAGATTCATGAGTTGGAAGCTTGGTAGTGTTGAGGTGCTGGAACCTTTAAGAGGTGGAGCTTACTGAGAGGCCCTTAGGTCACTGGGTATGCTCTCAGAAGGGATTAAGGTAGTTTTCATTGGCACTCAGTTCTCACCAGACCAAGATGAGCATGACCCCTAAATTGCTCTCTGGCTTCAATTTGGCCAGGTGATCTTTCCCTCTTTCAAGTGCTCCTGCATTATAATGTCATCCACCAAGGTATCCTCACCAGAGCTGATGCCAGTGACATGCCCTTGAACCTCCAGAACTCTGAGCTAAATAAACCTCTTTTTCTTTATAAATTCAGCCAGCTTTGCCTATTTCATTATAGTAACAGAAAACAGACAAACACAAAAATCAAATTTTATTCAGCAACAATAACAATACAGGTGATGAGCTAATGAAGAAATTTCAAACTACAATACAACCTAGCAAGTAATAGTAGTACTAATTAATAATGAAGATAATCCCAAAGCAGCTTTAAAACAGAGAGAAAAAAAATAAAACTTGAATACATTTATTAGAACACACCACACACACACACACACACACACACACACAATTTGAAAAGTACACCCGAGATGAGCAAAGTGCTACACTTTTGGCTTCAATCTAAAAGCATGCAAACCATATTTAGCCTTGGGCTACTTGGCAGTAATGCACCACCTCCTTTAAGGAAGGGTTATATCTAGAATTACAACCAGATAATTACTAAAGTTTCTCTGCAATGCTTCTAGGATACTCTTGCCCTTTATCTTTCTCTCTCACCCTCAAAAAAAAAAAAAAAAAATTAAAGGATATAACTGCATTCTCAGCAGAACAAATATCCACTGGAAACATATATTTAAGAATAAAATAAAGGGCAAATTAGCCACAGTTTCTTTAAGTTGCATAGACTAGAATGAGTCATCAACTCGATCTCTTTATGTATTATCTGCACAATTGCCTCAGAAAGTTGGCAGTTATAGAAAAGCACCTACTTGAAAGAATATTGATGACAAGAACTACATGTGAGCCTGATATATAGCTGGTTTATCAACTCGGCAAAACTAGGTCAGCATGACCTAGGCCAACAGGACACCACAAGAAGTGGTTTCATTTCCTCTTCCACATTCAATGACACTAAATCACACTAATCCCTTCCAGATTCCCAAGAAAAAACCATCCACAGGCAACCTGTGTTCCCAAGCTAAACAACTTTAAATTAAACCTGCACATGTGCTGGGGCTGTAGCTCAGGGGTAGAGTGTGTGCTCAAGGTCCTGTGTTCAATCTCCTGCACTCAAATACAAAGACAAAAACCAAGCAACCAAAAACCTGCACATCAAGAAGATTTGTTCCACAGCTTCAAACTTGGAAACCGCCATCACAGTTCCCCCAAGCCATCCAGATGCTCGTAGACATGACTATGCACAGAAGAACAAGGGGAATAGCATCTGAGATGTGAAAAAATAAAATAAAATCTTTAAAACAAGAAACCAATATTCTCTTTGACAGAAAGAGCAGAGAACAGATTGATAAACACATAAGAATTCTCTTCATTGGCTAGTTCAGCTAGGAACTAATTGCCAACTAAGAAACATAGTTACTCAGCAATCTTTCTGAGTAGGCAGGGCAGAATTATGCCAATTTTTTTTTTTTTTTGGTGGGAGGGTGGTGGGGTGTACTGAGGATTGAACTCAACCACTGAGCCACATCCCCAGCCCCATTTTGTATTTTATTTAGAGACAGGGTCTCACGGAGTTGCTTAGTACTTTGCTTTTGCTGAGGCTGGCTTTGAACTAATGAGCCTCCTGCCTCAGCCTCCCAAGCAATGGGATCATAGGCATGCACCACTGCACCTGGCTATGCCAATCCTTTGATCAGAAATCAAGGCTAGCTTATTTTCATAAGGCATTTTAACAATTATATTCAAATTATATTCATCATTTCACCCAAAGGATTCAAAGGACAGGAAGTAATTCTGTTTGGAAGCCCTTCAAACTCACAAAAATATGACAAGAGCAAAAGTTAAATGAACAAAAAACCTACTAGCACATCATGCACATATCATATTCTACTAGTAAAAAATAAACTTTAAAGACTATGGTAAGCAATAAAATAAACAACTCGACTGGAATCCTAGCAATGCCACATTTATATAATCAATCTAAAATATATTGCAGTCATATACAAAAATGAACAATCTCCTACCTAAACTATATTCCAAATTCCTATTTCCCAATAAAAACAAAAATGTATGGGTCACAACTTACTATAACCACATGAATTTTTGAAAACATGTGTGCGTTTATACACACATGCATGCGTGCACGCACACACCAATACCCTATGTATTCTAGTTCTTGTCAATAATTCCTGAAAGTATTTTCTTTTTTCATCATTTCCATATTGATTTGTGTGACCAAACTTTTCCCGTCTTCCTCTTCGATCTGATATGTTAACACTCTAGCACACATTAGTGACTAGAGAACAAAGTTGGTCTCTAAGTTAAAAATTCTGTCTCAATTAAAAAAAAAAATCTAAATGACAAGAGAATCACAGCAGAGTTAAATAAATCGAGAGACCATAAGGGTGTGCGTAGATTATACATGAGGGCACCAGTGAAAAACCACACCCTAAGAACAGGAAACCTCAGGTGAAAAGCATCAGGAAAAGGAAAAAGTATAATTGGTTTTGGGTAAACTTCTTTTCCTTTTGCAGTGCTAGGCTCAAATCTGGGACCTCCAGCATACTATGGAAGTGCTTTACCACTGAGCCACTTCCTCAGTCCAGTTATAGTAAATTTTAAAAAAATGGTTTTAAATAAAAGGGGAGCCAGACACTGTAGCAGGAACCCGTAATGCCAACTACCAGGGAGGCTGAGACAAGAGTATCATAAGTTCAAGGCCAGTCTGGGCAATTTACCAAAACTCTGTCTTAAAAAAATAAAATGGGCTGGGGATATAGCTCAGGGGTAGTATAGTACCCTGGGTTTGATCCTTAGTACCAAAAAAAAAAAAAAAAATTAATTAATTAATTAATTAATCTAAAGTAAATTAAAAATAAAAGGAGAGAAGTAAAGAAAAGTCACATAGATAGCTACAAGTTTGGTCTCCCAATTTTATTTTTTATCTTCCTCCCACTTTATAACCTGTCATTGACTTAACACCTCAGAGCTGTCCACACTTACTTCTGAGAAAGAATAGTGGCAAATCCTGTCATTGGCAGGCTTTGGCTTGGGGATTTGAGTTAAACTGTTTTTGAATGTTGAAATCAGGTCACAAGGGCAGTTTATTATTGTCATTTCAAGCACAAGTCAAAATTATTCAGGAGTACTAAAGATCAGTGTTACCAATACCTGCTTAGATTTTATGCCCCTGGAAAAAAAATTAAGAAACTATTTCTGAGTGACATTGGTCAAATTATATTGTTATAATGTATATGTGTACAATTGATAATGTACGCATGTACAAATTTATAACATCAAATCCCATCAGTATGTACAACTATAATGCACCAATAAAAAATGCAGGGAAAAAAAAAAAAAGAAAGTATCCCTGGCCATTATAAAGTGGCACTCAGGTATCTTTTTACAATGGAAACTAGGTCATTTTTAATGGTCCTGAATGAAGTATTTCTTTATTAACCTTTTTTTATAAACCAATCAGTGCACCCCCAATAAACTATAATAGTATGGAAACCTCCAGAATGTGTTTCAGCAGATTGGGATCTTAACGCCTTATCAGTACACTGCTGGAAGGAAATAAAAGGTACTAGTGTACCTGAGAAAATAACAAATAAAAACTCCAATGATTCCCCTTAAGTTTAATGAGAATATGAATTGAGATGTGTGAATAGTGAAAAGAATATAGGAGCAGTGAAAAGTATTCATTATTCTCATTTGGTAGACCTTTTTAAACACTTTATGTGGACACAAGTCACAGACCACATTCCAAATCTCTAACTTTATTCTTCATTTAAGAAGAATTTTCCTATACATTCTGTAAGATGCTGGCAGCAGAGGTGCCTGTGTGATCAGTAGAAAGTGACTAAAGCTGCAAGAAAAAAATCATTAGCAAAAACTCACTAATTAAGATATTTCATGCTGCAAAGGTGCATCTGTTTCCACTTTCTATACACTTCAACAGACACAGTTCCTTTCTTGCTGTTTTCAAGATCATTATGTCACTTGAGTAGTTCATTCTGCAACCGCTCCACAGCCTTATTCTTTCCTCCTCTCTGCGTTTAGAAGGACCAACCAGGCCTTACTGCAAATTTCCAGTCTGAAGTCCAGAAAGGCCAGTGGAGCCTCGGACTTCAATTCCCCTATTTCCAATTCGAGACTCGACTCTGTCACCTCCTGTAAATAATCTACCGAAAGCAGTTATGAAAAAAAAGGCATCATCAGCCACAAGGCCTTAGAGAGGCAATGCTCTCTTGGCAAAGCAATCCAGACCAATCAGGGTTCTGCATCCTTCTCCGTACCGATGTGAATAGGTCATCGTTGGACCGTTCGGGATCTTGGCTCGTGGTCTCAGATAAGGAGCCAAAGTGACACGGGGCGTGCAGCCCTGCAGACAGCTGGGTTCCCCCCAACACCTTTCGCTGCCGGGTCTCGGCCTCCCAGCCTGGGTCAGGATTGATAGATCCCAGTATCACCACGTCTGACTCTAATGGATGGCTACACGGCACTGACCCTTGCAGCATCCTTGCTTCAGAGGATTCGCCCTACGGGCCTACTGTTGGGGAAACCAGGGCGGCCACCCTCCGCCTTCCTTCCTCAGTCCCTCCCTCCGACCTCGACCCACCCCAGCAGCCTTGCACGGGCGACTTCAGCCTGCAGTCAAGTTCAAGACCCAGCAAGGTCTGGTAGGAAACCCCAGCTGTTGGGGCGCAGCCAGCGTGGACCCCGCCCAGACAAGCTGCTCTAGACCTCGAAAGGGAAGAAAGACGCAGAGATCCCAGAGAGATGGGCCGTGGGGCTCGGGCTCGGAATTGAGGCTGGGGGAAATAAACCTATATTTTTCCTCCACCTTCTCGGGAAGTCATCCTCCCTTTACTCTCCATTCCGGGGACCGCCAATAAATAACACCAACAGAAATAAATGAATTGCACTTTCTTGACTCTTACCTCGTAATGGCTAGTTCCCGGAAATTTCTTAATTAGCTACCGAGGGGCAAAAGAGGGGCTTTCTTGATCGGTAAACAAGATCGCCTTCTCCGTTGTATGGAGCAAGCAATCAAAGGAGCCACTGCCTCATCTCCTGGTCAGTCTCGAAATTTTTTTTGCCCGCAGTTGGCCAGATGGAGAAGGGAAGTCTGTTCCCTCTGACTGACGGCAGCTCTGGCCAATCAACGCTTGGCGAGGAGGTGAGCCCATCTATAACCGCAGCTACTCACAGATCCCGAAAGGAACGAGCCTCCCGCAACTGCAATTTGACTTGGCAGACTTGCTGCAGCGCGCTGCAGAGCGACGTAGACTTGGACCAATAGCAGCTCGCGGAGGCGCCCCGCCCTCCCGAGGTCGGTGCTGCGCGCTCCTAGCGGAGACAGTGGGTGGGGCAGGGAGATTTGGTACCTTGCCAGCGGTTGAAGGAGGGAGGTGTGTGGGACAAGGGGGCGGTGGTTGTGACCACTAGGAAACCGATAAGGGCACTTTGCCTGGGCATTGAGCTTGAAAGGCATCTGGTTTCCTTCCTCGTTCTTTTGCAAATCCCCGGTGCAGCGTTGTTCATGGCTGAACAAACAGGCATTTTATGATCTCTTGGGATTGTTGATTCATTCATTCGACAAGCATTTCTGTGTTTAAGAAGGACCTCCTGAACGCCGGGCAGTACTAGGCACTGGAAATACAAACCTGACTCTGAAAGACATGATCACTGCACTTAGAGAAATTACAGTCTAAGGGAAGAAGAGGGAGAAAACTAACAAGTAAACTAGCATGTAAAAGATCAATCCTAGGGTTGGGTGGGGCTCAGTGGCAAAGCGCTTGCCTCCCACAGGGTTCCATCCTCAGCACCACATAAAATAAATAGATATATATGGTCTGTTTTTGTCTATTTCTTTATTATTCTCTCTCTCTCTCTCTCTCTCTCTCTCTCTCTCTATATATATATATATATATATATATATATATATATATATATATATATAATTTTTTCCCACTGGACCATCTTATTTTCCCATTTTTCCTCTTCTTTCTAGTAATCGATCTCTGCTCCCTCCCTCATTTCCTTTCTTGCTTTTTTCCTCCCTTCCTTCTTTTTTCTTTCCATTATTGCCAAAGAGATGCTTATTATTTCAAATCAGAAAACCTCTTTTTAATTTCCTGAATAATTCACAGATTCTTTCCTCATAGCAGCTTCGACAACTCATAGTCACAATACTTGTGTTTAAATAAACAAACAAAATAAAGTTTCCATTTATAACTAAAAAAAAATTTTAAAGATAAATCCTATCCAAGGTGGAAACAGAAGAGATATGAAGAATAAAGAGGGGTAGACTTCAGAAAGGGTGGTTACAAGAGCAGTTTATAGAATGGTATCTAAGTTAAGTCTCAGACTTTCAATTGGTCGTTGAAACTAGTGAAGGGATGACTGTTCTGGACAGAGGGGACAGAAGAGCAAAGGTCCTGAGGAACAACTTGGCATTTTGGAAGAACAGGGAGAAGACCAGTGTGGCTCTAGTATACAATACCTTGAGGGAGGGAGAGAACTACCATAAGAAATAAATTAAGAAATAAATAGGTGAAGGAGAGGGAGGCCTTACATTTTATATTTAATGAACCTCTACTTGGGCATTTGAAACAGAGGAGTTCAAGGATGTGGTTTAGGCTTTAAATCACCTTGGTTAATGTACAGAGAATAGGTAGAATGAGCCATTGGGAGACTGACAAAGATTATGGTAGATGAGATAAACTCCTGTGATAGCACTGAAGGTGAGAAAAGCAGAGCGAGTAGAGAGGTTAAAGGCAAATGATTAACTCATTTTGACATTTTTTAGTTATCCAGGTCCAGGGACAACTATTCAGAATCCAGTGCATTTAATAACCTCTTTAGAGACTGATGCTTGTATGGATGACTCTCAAATTATAGTAACAACCTTGAGGATTGTGTTGGGTTGAGAGTCATTTTTCATGAACTTTCTGGAATTTTCTTTCTTTTTCAACTTCTGATTGCAATATGATATGCATATAGACAAGTGCATATATCCTAAGAACATTACTGCTCAAGTAATGTTCACAACCAAAACATATCTTTGTATCCAGAATCCAGGTCAAGAAATAGAACATTAGTAATCCTAGGAACCCCATCATACTGCCTTCCAGTCACAGCTTCCTCCCAAGGGCAGCCTCTATGCTGACTTTGAACAACATAGTTCTAACTATCCTTACGCTTGATAAATATAAAATCATTGCATAAATATGCATTATTTTATGTTTAGCTTCTTTGATCCAACATTATGCTTGTGGGTTTTCCATATTATTGCACATAGTTATGGATAATTCATTTTATTCCATTCTGTAATTATACCTAACTTATGAATTTATTCTTCTGATGAATGTTGGGGTAGTTTCCACTTTGAAGCTATTATAACCAGTGCTACTATGAACTTTCTAGTACATGTCCTTGGTGATGACCTTGTCTTTTGATGGAACATTTTGGTAACTAAATTACAATTAAGTTATTGGCAGGGGGTGCTGAGGTATAGTGCTTGCCTTGCATGCACAAGGCCCTGGGTTTGATCCCCAGCACACACACACACACGAAAAAAAGTTATTTTTTTAATCTGCTCATCATTGATGAGTATCATGTATTGCAATATTTCAGACATTTGGATCTTGGTGCAGATAATGAAGGACTTTGCTTTCACGAAGGTAAAATTGGGGGCAATAAGGAACTGTTGATGTGGGAAATTTTACTCTTGGAAGTATAAAATATTCTGAACTGTCCATGAAGGGTTTTTTTCTTATTTTTTATTTGTTATTTTTAGTTATGCATTATAGTAGAATGTATTTTGACATATTATACATATGTGGAGTATAACTTCCCATTCTTATGGTTGTACATGATGTGGACTTACACTGGTCATGTATTCATATAAGAACATAGGAAAGTTTTGTCTGATTCATTCTACTGTCTTTTCTATTCCCATCCCCCTCCCTTTCCTTCATTCCCCTTTGTCTAATCCAAAGTACTTCTATTCTTCCCTAACCCCCTCCCCCTTTATTGTGTGTTATCATCCACATATCAGAGAGAATTGGCCTTTGGTTTGGGGGGATTGGCTTATTTCACTTAATACGATAGTCTCCAGTTCCATCCATTTACCTGCAAATGCCATAATTTCATTCTTCATTATGGCTGAGTAACATTCCAGTATGTATATATACCATATTTTCTTTATCCATTCATGTGTTGAAGGGCTGTTGAAGATTAGTTCCATACTTAGCTATTGTGAATTGAGCTTCTATAAGAATTGATGTGGCTGTGTCACTGTAGTATGCTGATTTTAAGTCCTTTAGGTATATACCAAGGAGTGGGATAACTGGATCAAATAGTGTTCCATTCCAAGTTTTCTGAGGAATCTCCATACTGCTTTCCAGAGTGTTTGCACCAATTTGCAGTCCCACCAGCAATGTATGAGTGTACCTTTTCCCCCCACATCTTTGCCAATGTTTATCATTATTTGTATTCTTGAAAATTGCAGGGGTGGGGAGCATGGGGACGGGAAAGATGGTGGAATGAGATGGACATAATTACCCTAAATACATGTATGATTGTACGAATGGTGTGACTCTACTTCATATACAACCAGAGAAGTAAAAAAATTCTGCTCCTTTTGTGTACAACAAATTGAAGAACTTTCTGCTGTCATGTATAACTGATTAGAACTAATAAAATAAGTAAAATAAATTATAAAAAATAAAAATATTTTTTTAAAAAAAGAAAATTGCCGTCTGACTGGAATAAGATGAAATCTCAGTGTGGTTTTAATTTGCATTTCTCTAATTGCTAGAAATGTTGAATGTGTTTCCACGTATTTGTTGACTGATTATACTTCTGTGAAGTGTCTGTTCAGTTCTTTAGCCCATTTATTTATTGGGTTATTTGTTTTGTTTTTGGTGTTAAAGTTTTTTTTTTTTTGAGTTATTTGTATATACTGAAGATTAATGTTCTATCTGTTGTGCAGGTAGCAAAGATTTTTCTCCCATTCTGTAGGCTCTCTCTTCACGTTCTTGATTGTTTCCTTTGCTGTAAAGAAGCTTTTTAATTTGATACCATCCCATTTATTAATTCTTTATTTTACTTCTTGTGCTTTAAGAGTCATGTTGAGGAAATTCAATTCCTAAGCCAACATGTTAGAGATTTGGGTCGGGGCCTACTTTTTCTTCTAATAGGTGCAGGGTCTCTGGTCTAATGTTTAGGTCCTTGATCCACTTTGAGTTGAGTTTTGTGCAGGGTGAGAGATAGTCCCTGGAGTTTTGACCTTCTTTTTAAGTTCTTGCAAACTGCATGACCAGCATCTGAGAACATTGTAGCTTTTCTACATCATTTTACTATAATGGACCGTAATCCACAGTCATACAATAAACAAAGTCAGTGGGACTGTCTTTAAAATATCTTTGATACTGGTATAGTCCTCAGAATTACATTGGAAAACATACCATTCCATATCCTACCA